TCGAAGAACTATCACGCGCACAGGATGCTCGTCAAATAGACGAAGATGATGACAACTTGTCGCAGGAAATCAGAGATGACCTCCGCAGCTCGTTTTCTTATCAGCGCTCTTGAATCATCAAGCCTCCGGCTCCATGATACTTTGCACGTTCCATATCGTTGCATTCGTTCTCTTATGCTTCTGTAATAGTTTTTTTTGGCTCATCAGCTGGCCTGATAGGCTATAGCGCGCATTTCAAACGCCAGTGTCGGGACTGCATTGTAGAGGCGTTCACTTGCGATTTGTAATCCACATCTCACCTCTTCTCGACTCTCTGTCGCATTAAGGTTATCTGTCAGTGCGGCGTTGGATGGTCAAATGAGCGACGCCTACAACACGAGGTGAGTTACGTATCGCAGAGATGCAAATCTGATTGTCTTTAACTACGATCTCTATATGGCTTGAGACCTTATTGAGTTCACTACATTACCCACACATCTCTCCATCTGCCTCCGTACAATAAGTCTGGCACATCATAATCTTGACATCTTCTACCTCTTTCGTGATATGATACGCTTACCCATCTAGATCGAACATTTCCCGGTGCTCCTCTCTCGTTTGTTGATCAGGCAGCTGTCCCTCGATCAACTTCCACATCTCCATCGCAATCTTCTTTCTTATCTTCGCCACACGAACACTCCTCTTCCACTCTTTCTCAGTCGCTTCTCGCTCTGCTACTGTGATCTTGCATAATCAGCATATGTATATATAAACATCCCGTAGGAAAGTGAACTTACTTTCTTCGCCTTCCCCCTCTTCAGCCCATCGAGTCTGGTCACGATTTCCGCCCTCTCCGTCTCAAGGGTATGAATGCTAGCTATGAGATCTGTAGTGCTGAGCGTGGAATTAAGGCTGGAGAGCGAGCTACGGAGGTTCTTTGCACTGGTGAGAAGAGAGATGGTTTGTGTGCGCACGTTGAGAACGCTTTCATCGAGGGCGGCGAGTTGCTCAGTCGTGCATGCTTCAGCGGCGTTCTAGGGGTGTAAATCAGACTTGGACTGGAGGATCCAGGAGCGAAACCTACCTGCAGAGCGTGATAGACGATCTGTTTGCCTAGGGATGTCAACCTGATTGAGCCGGAAGTTAGATTGGTCAGACTCACCAGCAACTCGTCCCTCTATTGCTTTTTGCTCATGGAGGTCTTTCAGAATCTTTGCGGCAGAAGCTGTATCGTGATCAGTGATTGATTGCATTATGAGTTAGCGTGCTGCCAACGAATGCACCTTTGGTGACCTTGTTGTGCAAGTTTGCCGAGACATCGATAGCTGAGTATGGGCGGTTTTGCTTGCCTATAGCCGATTAATCGTTGAAGCTGAGCTATAATTCAATCGTAGGGCTTTTCGGATGGATGGGCAAGGTGAGTGGCCTACGCAGATACTCCAACACCAGGTCCGATGCTTCGTTGGCTGTTGCTTTCTCTTCTGTCTTCTTGCGTGGCGCCATTATATGCTATCGATGTGCAAGTACGATAGATGTAACGGTATCATGAGAAAATGCCGTGTGAGACGTTCAGCTTCTGACAAGATGGCGCTAGGCTATGAGCATGCTTCCGATGGAAGGAGTCACCATCAACCCAGGAAGGTGGGGTAAACAAGTTACGTGGAAGCGAAATTGAGCAACCCAGATATACCGGTAATCTGAATACAATTATGTGATAATTTGTTCGTTACAAAGGCGCACTGCCAGTCCCTAATTAGTACTTCAACCCCCACGCTCACCAAATTGTGTAGCCCAATCTTCAAATTCCTTTAACCCTTGCTTGCTCACGGAGGGTCTGATAGTCTGCAGGCTCGCTATGAAGTCCTGGAACTGTATCGGCCGTATTTGATCCATTGTCATGGACAGCAACTTCTCGCCCAGTGAGCGTAATGGTCCCATAGCGGCGTCTTTCGCAAGCGCAGTGATATCAGAACCAGAGAACCCTAGATTAAAGTTAGCATCATATATTTTGTCTTCGTCATTCTTTCTGTTGTGGAGTGCAGAACACAAATACATACCGTCAGTGAGCTTGACCAGACAGTCCAAATCGTGGTCGCTCAGTTCATGTTTCTGATGGCTCAATAACGTCTTCACTTGCTGCTTCCGGACCCAATCTTCCGGTAAAGGAATATATTGTCTTCTTACGAATCGCCGTCTTGCTGCTTCGTCAATTGCCCATGGCAGGTTCGTCGCTGCAAGTACTAGCACCCTAGTAGCATCGCCTCTCTCTTTGTCCTTGTCGTTGATTGCACTCCCAGCAGCAGCCTTTTGCAGATCAGACCACTGTATGAGAAACTCGGTTTTGATGCGTCGAGATGCTTCGTGTTCACCGGCTCCCGAGCGCGACGAAAGGAGCGAATCAATCTCATCGACGAAGATGATCGATGGTGCAAGCATCTTCGCAAGCTGGAACAGCGCACGAACAAGCTTTTCGGACTCGCCGAGAAATTTCGACGTCAAACTGCTTGCAGAAATCGCGAAAAAGGTAGACTTTGACTCTGTAGCCACAGCCCTCGCCAACATCGTCTTTCCAGTGCCTGGAGGTCCAAACAGCAGCATACCGCGTGCAGGTTCTCGCAAGCCCATGAACAAGTCAGGTCTCAAGAACGGGTAAACCACTGTCTCTTTTAATGCTGATTTCGCAACTTCGAGCCCAGACACGTCGTCCCAATGTACCTCATCTCCCTGTATGACAATTTCGTTCAAAATCTGCTGCGCTGCTTGCTTATCAACACCTCGTGGTAGGTTCTTCATGATCTCATCCGTCCGTCGCTTCCATTCATCTGTTTCTTCGGATTCTTGGTCTGCTTCAGTACTGTCCGTACTTGGGGTATCTGGTAACTCTGCACGCATCGAGTTTCCTCTAGCCCTGCCCTTACGCACCGGTGATGGCCTGTGGTTGAGCAACTCTCCATCCTCTTCTAGCGGTATAGATTCAGGCAGGTCTTCTTGCTCCGAACTGCTTCGCGCTTTGGTGTAACTACTCGTAGGTTTGGGCACTAGTCTCCGTGTCGTAGGATCCCACATGACTCCACCTCGTTCAGCACCGTTGTCGCTGTACGAATGCGCTGCTGCAGACGCAGCGAGGGATCGAGGGTCTGGAGCGGGCTTTGGATATTCCTTCCGATACGAGGGCAGAGCCGTGACGGCCCCTTGCGCATTAAGCATCTGTGTCGAACTGACTGACTTGCGAGGTATTGTTGGCGTTGTTCGCTCGAGCGCAGGGGTCTTGACAGGTTCTGGATCGATTTCGCCGCTGGGTGGTGGTACCGCATACGCAGTCGATGCTGAACCTTCGCCAGCTCTGAAATGAAACGGTGCTTGTGTGGGCGGTTGCTGTACTTCTGGTTTAAAACTATTTGCACTCGGCCTCCCAGCAGACGGCTTGTCGATGGACGACCGAGCTGAGGGCGTGAGGGAATTGGTCGATGGATTAGTTCCCAATGCTGGTCGACTCGAGGTCCCTGTAGCTTTGACGCTCCAGGCTTGAGTTGCTGCCTTTGAAGCATCTGGGCGACTTCTTAACGAGTTGGGTAACTTGGCCGAAGACGGTTTGCTTTCCCTTCCAGGTCTCAATGTTCGTAGCATTCTACCACTCTTCTCTGGCGACGGTGTACGCGTCTTTTCTCCCACCGTCCCCGGAGATAATGTCGATACGCTCCGAGTCTGCGTCAAGCTGTTGTCTGCTATAGATCCAGTACCAGAGCTCTTTCGTGGCGCCATCGCAGGACGGTACGGTAACGGTGGCGGTCGCGAAAGATCTGTATACTCAATGGGTGGTATAGATCCGCCTCCGAGCCATGAAGAAGTTCGGCTTGTATCGGGTTGCGAAAAGGGCACGCCATGGGGAGGTGGTGTTGGGGCATCGTTGTTTGAAGACTGCGAGGCTAGACTCTCCTTTGACTCCTTCCTACTATTCTTCAGGGCTTCCAGCAGATCCACGCGCTCTTTGCACTGTAGCTCCAACTGGCGCAGCGATTCGATCAGGGCCCTCTCTGTTTCGGACGCAGGACGGTATGTGGAGGGGTTGCGACGAGCGTTATGGTAATAGATATGGTCGAGGGCGGTCTTCCACGATCGTAAGGCTTCTTTCTCATTGTTCTACACGCCGTTTTGTCAGTATGGTCAAGCATGTGCAACACTTGGCGGGTGGTTGGGCACTGACCTGGCCCTCAAAGTATACTGCAGTCGAGCAGGCTAGAAAAGCCTCATCGTAGGCCTTCTGCGTCGTGTTGGCGCGCATAGCAGAAAACATGTATATCGTGCGCCCAATTCGCGCTGTGAAGACGGAAATAGGAGTCTCGCGTCAAGTCTTGGGCTCGTGTTTGTAGATTCGTCTGCTGCATGCGCCGGCCTTAGTTCGCGCGGGTGTGTGACGTAGCCCTGGAGGGAGCTGCCCAGGTGTTTCGCAACCCCGAAGGCTGAGCAGCGGCGACCATGGAAGACACTCTCTCCCAGCATTATCCACGCAGCTAGCCACACCTCACGTTAACACATCAGATCACAGGGCAGTATCATCACTTCAACATTCGCATCTTCGCAATCACGCACGAGGAGGGTGCATGTGCAATGGGTGGGGCCGCTATTTGGATCGCTGTTATCGATTACGCACCTGGATTGGACCGGATAGCGAAAATGCTGATGGGTCTTGAGCGACGCCAATACTGAATTTTCTCTATGATACAAGTACGCGCATGCCATCATGTTCTCGCACAACCAAGCACCCAGTACGCCACCAGATGAGCTTCCAGAAAAGCCTCTATGACTATACAATGGCAATGAAGAAGCGTCGCGACACAACCCTCTCCTCTACCCGCGCAACACAAAATGCTAGACCTAGCCTTGAATGCCCAGTACTGCTATGGTCGCTGCTCTCCGCGACACCGCGTGTATATCGTTCCGTTGGTTATGCGCGTATCGTAGTATTGGAGGGCTCTCGTAACGGTTCAAAAAAAAAAAGGATCAGTCAAATCGTCGTCTCCCTATATGGCAGTGGACGAGTTGGTGCTCCTCCGAATGAAGAAAGCCTTTGCCATTTCGTATGCAGACCTAGATGTTGTCAGATGGTTACAAGTTGGTTTTGTGCAGGTGGGGACTCACCAGCAAATCGCAGTGCTTGGCATGGTGGTGATAATACGGGGCTTCAGACCACGGAAGTATCCTCTGTAGCCCTCCCTCTGGTGGATTATCTTAGACGCTTGGAAGAGGCCGGAGACGTTCTTCAACTCTGCGTCCCTGGCATTTCCGCGTGTTTGTAATAGCGTCTTGATGACATCGAGCGGAGTGGTGAGCCCCGCTGCAAATCCACCGGCGATACCTCCGGCGAAGCAGTGCGTGTAGGGATCGTAACGGCCGGTCGGGTTCATGACCTTTGACATGGATTCGTAGGCCATGAATTGTAGCGCGGTGAATGGCACCGTCATACACAGTGTAGTGGGGTATGAGACGTAGAAGGCGCCGACTCCCTCGGTACGGAGAACCTCTCGGGCGCATTGAGGGACAGATTTGTAGATGGAACCATGCATTTGCATGCGTTGCTTTATGACTGCGAGGTTCAGTAGGCGCGGAGCGAAGTCGTAATGCGCATCTTACCGTCAAAAGGATTCATCAGCGCATCGCTGGAGATGGTGGCCGCAGCACCGCTGGCAGCTGTTGGTAGTCAGTAACCGCCCCTTGTTTTACGTCGTATTGGTTGCGCGCACCTGCTGCAAGAGGATGATGCTCGTGACTCTCTCCTTCGTTGCCGCCGAGGGCGTGCTTGGTGGCTTCGTACGATGCAAAATAGACAGCATGGGCGGGACCTGCACGCTGTCAGTTCCGTCTACCCCCGACTTTTCACCCAGCGTTGCCTACCTGCACCCATGACCACACTCGAAAGCCCCCTCCACAATGACCAAAAGCCCTCTGCTCGCGATATAGTGACCATGGCGTTGGAGATGCCGCTATACATGGCACTCGGCGACGGGTTGACGATCTGCATCCTGGTCTACCGGAAGTCAGCGCACTGTTGGCAGTGGACGAAAAGCTTGATAGAAAGCTGCGCACCTTGAGTAGATCGACTGGGTACATCACCGAGTGTTCCTATCGCCAAGTCAGTTGACATGTGCTCACGGCGGCGACGTCGGGGACGTACGGCGATGCCCGCAAATGCGCCCGCAAGCATATTCGCGGTGAGGGAGAAGTTTGGCGGGAGCGCTTCATAACTGGCGCGAAGGTCAGCGACGGGTGTATCCTATGTGTGGTGGTGCAATGGAGCTGTACTCGTGTTCTTCTTCGATAGGAACTGATGGCCGATCATTGGGGGCCATAAGTCGGCCTGTTACTGGCGCCGCGGATTCCAGGTTTGCGACTATGGTGGTATTTGTTTTTGGGCAAGATATGGCAGCTTCGGGCGTCGTTGCGAGAGGGCCAGGTGAGGTGAGTGGGCAATGGTTCGAAATTGAAGTTGTTACTTTTGTTTGCAACTAACGGAAGCGCGAGATGACTTCAGCCGAACGCCGAGACGTCAGACCTAAAATCCGGCGACTAGGTACTCTCTCTAGTATCTACTCTCATCGTACCCATGCCATCAACAGCGATGCCGGAGCTTGTACGGCAAACCTACGCATGCGCATGCCAGCCCATATACTGGCAAATTCTGCATCGTGATGCCCCCTACAATCTGGCCACAGCTGGCCACTTGCCATGACCCCTCAAATGCGCAACGATGGTTGACAGATGCCGCGGAGATCAAGTACATCATCAACGCGATAGCTAGACTCAGCCAAGGTGCCTCGGATGCGGGAGGGGAAATAGTTGGACTCAACTATATCTTATCAGATCATCTCCGCCCGCATACACCGTCCGCCACACGTCTGCGTCCTGTCCCCTACATGCTTGTACGCAAAGTCTGACTTCACTCACGATACCCCGCAAACACGCCGGGTTTGATTTAGCGCATCCAGAACCGCATGCTGAATAATGTCCGATCTTGGAATAGTTTGCATAGTGGATGTAAACTCAAGCTCGGTGCCGAGCTCCTGCTCGCTAAGTGCTCCTAGCACAGCGTCTAGTAAATGAGCAAACGACAAGCTTACATCTCCAGTCTGCGCTGAATAAACAACAGAGCAAGCCTGCACGCATTACTATAGACATCTGTGGGTGCCTCCAACATAATCGGGTTTGGATGGTCCGAGGTTACTATACTCATTTGCAACTATCATCAACCACCATGATCCAGCACTTTGCCCATCGTACAAGTACAATGAACGCGCGGTTTTCATAACCTGCAACCAGCAATGCTATCCAGTCTATCTGCCATGGCACGTTACGAAGCAACATGTCCGCCAACAGCTGGCGATGCCGTGGTCCGGGACACCGGAGCTCCTTACATTTTGTTTGCGCATCAGCAGTCGCACCGCTTGTGCCACCGGGGGAAGCTGACTACGTCCCTGATGTTAGGCACACCCGCGAGGTAGCACAGGAGTCGATCGAATCCAAGACCAAAGCCTCCATGCGGTACACTGCCGTATCGTCGGAGGTCCACGTACCACTGCAAAGAGCCGTCTGATGCGTCGGTAGAGTCGTCCGACGCTTGTTGGAGGCCCTGTTCCTCCATGGATTTTAGAAGTTGTTCCAGTCGGTGTTCGCGCATAGAGCCTCCCACCAATTCACAAATTTCAGGTACAAGTAGGTCGAAGCATGCGACTGTCGGTGCAGCCGATTCATCAACAGTCGGATCATTTGACGGCGCCATGTAGAAGGGCTTGATGTTGCGTGGATAGTCAGTGACGAATATGGGTCCACCGCGTCCCAAGCTCTCAGCCAGAAATCGTTCGTGCTCGGTTTGTAGACCGTCTTCATGACCAGGTGCATACTCGAATTCCGCCTTGCCTTGAGCCACTGCGTCCTTGAGGTGTCGTATCGCAACCGCGTATGAGATTCGAGGCCATGGACCTTCTGCCAGCCCTTGCCACCGTTGTGCGAGGGTAGCGTGCGACACGGATGTGCTTTCTTGATCCTGGTCTCGTGCTCGCGCCTCAAGGAGCTCTTGACCTACAATTGACTCTTGTAACTTCAACGCAACAGAACGCAACATCTCTTCCACAACGTCCATGACGACATTGGCGTCGTCGACGAAAGCTAGTTCTGCTTCCAGCATGTAGAATTCGCTAAGATGACGAACCGTATCACTCTTTTCGGCTCGAAATGTTGGAGACAGCGTCCAGACCTTGTTCACTGATTGAGCTAAAGCTTCTAGGTGAAGCTGGCTAGAAACGGTGAGGTATTTGGGAGAGCCGAAAAACATGTCTTCATGCTTCTTGATCTGGTTTGAAGAGGATTTGTCTGATGACGATGGTACCTCAGGCGCAACAGTAAATACCTCTCCTGCACCCTCGCAGTCGGAAGATGTGATGATAGGTGGATGACACTGAACAAAGTCATGTTCTGCAAAGTAGTTGGTCACTTGCGCAGTGACTAAAGACCTCAGCCGCAATATAAGAGAGTTGATTGGTAGTCGACTTCGAAGATGCGGGAGAGTGCGCAGAAATTCAGGCGATTGGTATTTCTTCTGGATTGGGTAGGCCTGCAATTGGAACACAGATCAGAACCCAGAGACTACTTCAATGCTCACTCGAACCAACTTACTGTAGCATCGTTCTCTCCCAGTATTTGCACTTGGTTTACTCGAAGTTCATGGGATTGGCCTTGACCTGGCGAGGGTGTCCACTTTCCTGTGACTGTCACTGCAACACCAGTGGAGAGACTGATAGCACAGCATGTCAGTACTTACAGATCATATGGAAGTAGACTACTGACCCTTCCGCTAGTTGGGGAGGCAGCACTGCCTGTACTGTCTGCAGGGTCGAGCCATCTCCTATGGCAGCAAATGCAATACGCTTTTGCTTGCGCACTGTCCGCACATAGCCGTTTATCGTCAGCGCCTCATTGTCCCGTGGAGTCCGCTGAGCGGAGATTGATTGTGGAGATGGCCTCAGCAGCTCAGCAATGGTGCTTGGGCAGAAGGTTGAACTGCAGCGAGGACGACATAGTGATAGCGCATGTGCGCAAGGCAAAGCGGTTCCCCGGTTTCGAAGTAAGTGCTGGGGGCGGACAGCACTCCTTCGAACGGGCAGGAGCCAACTCATTAACGCGTCGGCAAATCTCGATCAGCCAGTAGGAAATGTGCGGTGTACTCTGTAGCGTAGCAACAGCTGCCTCTATCGGTATGCTGTCTATGAAACCTAAGAAAAAAAGTACAGACGCTTTGACCATGCGCTAGGATCTGGCGGGCCTCGCCCGTACCGTTCTTGTGGCTCGTTAATCGTCACTGTAACACTTCAGCCATGGCTGAAACACTATGTGCTCCAAGGACCGACCATGAGAGTGCACGAGATCTGTGACCCATGAACATAGCGCCGATGGACTTCGGAGCCTGGTGTCGTCGTCTTCTTCTCGGTGGCCCTCTTTACCATCATTGGACGGGCCAGCTTCCTCTTCTACTCCACCCCCGGTCAGCACACCAAGACACGCCCCACCAAGCGAGACGGCTGTTTGTACACCTCTCATCGTGTGCCGAGATGCTGGAAGCATGCACCCGTCATAAGGGCGGCGGACTTGTTGATTACTGGACGTTTTCGTGTAACATCCGCTGGCGGTGAGAAAGACGCCTCGTAGAACGCCAGCACTCCAGCAAAGTACATTTACCCTGCATCCGGGATCTTAGTGCCGACGCTATCACTGCGACGCTATATCGTGCAGGATCTTGGTTAGCAGCTGTCATCATCGGCTTGCTCAACGCCGCCAGATCTTTCTAAACCGCTTTTAACTCTATGCAGATCGCTTCGAGGTCTGGACGATCGATCCAGCCACACATCCCTGTTCCAACAACTCCCAGAAACCCGACACGGCACTTAGTGGCTTCGAGGTACCTGGCAGCTATGTGGGTGCACAGCATCGCCCCCAGGACCAGGATGGATTTTTCAATCACACGGCGCGGCTGCTACCGGGCATCGACCACTGTGCCTACCCTAAATTGCTTGGGCATACGACTCATGTCCCATCCTCCTGCAGGTTTGCGCTACGGCTGGTGTAGATGCCACCCGCGATGACTGCATACAACAGGGGAGGGCTCGATTCCCGCAGACGACTACCGTTTTGGTAACTGGCGCAACGGAAATGCGCCAGCTTAGTCTCCGGCTGGATCTGGAGCCATTATTTAGCTGCGTTATCACACGCTCCTGAGTAGTTGCTCAAGTGATATACTACCTTCTTGTCGGTAGGGTCATAGACTCCTCGTCGTTTCACCCCGCCCCTCCCTACTTTCAGGCCATCTCACGCTGCTACTATAAATCCTCCCATTTTACGTACAGTTATACAAGAATTCATATCAAAGCTGCTCATAGTATTTCATTATCATGCCGCCTTCAAGACCCAAGCCGTCAGAAATAGCAGCCGAAGCAAAACGGATATGGATGCCACATATCTGGAAACACTACATTCGAGACTCCAAGACCTCATACCTATATCCCGACTCAGCACAAATAAGAATCAACGTGGACAAACGATCATCACAACGCACCAGAGTAGCAGTCATGGAAGGTGACCCAGTGAACTACGCTTTGGGCTGGTATCAAAGCGCGGCCAACGCAGATTCAGACTGCAAGCGAATTCCAGTGATCAATGTAGCGAACGAGAAACGCGCTGGAGGTGACTGGGAATCCGGGCTTATGGCACCAGAAGAATGTTTCGCGAGGAGAAGCAATCTCGTACATGCTCTAACGATGCCATGGAACGCGCAATTGGGCCGAGAAGAAAACTACTACCCAATACCACAGACAGGCGGCATCTACTCCCCTGAAGTCTGTATGTTGAGATAACAGCAACGCTCGTCTCGAGTCACAAGTCACTAACGGGCCGCAGTTGTGTTCCGAGCAGGCCCAGATCAAGACTATGCAACCTTTACAGACATAGCCTCTCTACCCGTAATATCGGTTGCACCCGTGCGACGTCCCAAGCTCGACGAGAGCGGATGCAAATACTCGTTTGCACAAGAAAAGGAGCTCATGAAGGAGAAAATGCGGGCAGTATTGCGAATCGCATCCTACTGCGGGCACAGGAACTTGGTGCTGGGCGCTTTCGGCTTAGGGCCTATATTCCGCAACCCAGCACAGGAGGTAGCGCGAATGTGGAGGAAACTACTCTTCGAAGAGGAGGAGTTCCATGGCGCATTCCAGGATGTCGTGTTTGCTATTGACAGTAGTATGGTTGGGTCGCCGAGCAAAGGGTGCGCGTCCGATGTGGAGATTTTTAGGCGCGAATTCGATCCTGCGACTATTTGGCCGACCAAGTGGTGACAGACGTCCTCGGCGACGACGCCGACAGTAAAAGTAATCGACTAGCAGCAACACAACTTGCTATTGAATATTGTAGCATGGGATATGGTCACGAAGCATACGAAACTGAAGCACACGAACCGACACGCTCACACATACATACACACATACACACGAGGGCAGGATCCTTCAGAGACACCAACCCAATGGAGGGGTAAAACAAGCCACTTGACTCGGATGAAGTCTTGGGATGGTGGGGTGGGGGTTCTCAGTATGCACAGATAACCGAGAAAAAGCTCAGATCTCGCCGACCCGAGGACTCGAACCAGGCGGCGCACTGCTGCTACTGCCGCTCGATTCTGCGGCTAAAACCTGCACGTTCTAGTAGCCAATCAGTATTAATGAACAATATTGGGTAACATGTTGTCTTGTGGTCAGATATTTGTCATGTTCTTGCACTTTGCTAGCTTTGTGGGTGTAGGATTTTGGACTTGACGGGTCGATGCTGATACTCTCGATGATTAGGCTTTTGTGCTGATGAGGGGTTGTACGGAACAGAGTTGAAGACTTGCACGTCCCCCCCCCCCTCAACAGCAGAGTTTCTGCTGTCAGCAACAAGGCTCGGGCAAAAGGAAACTGCCGACAAATGTCCACATGCGTTTCGAGGTATGGTGACGGACAGAAGTTCACAGCAAGCCAAGACGCGGCCTGACCTACATACTCAGGCTACGATTCTGCAAGTCGAAACAACTCCCGCGCGTAGGCTTGCACGGACAAGCTAGGCCCCGCCACTCCCCGATTCGTCCTTGGGTCTATGCGATGAACCCCCCTTCATGCAAGGAGTAAACTTGACAGGCGCGGCTCGACGCCTCGAATACCTAAGCTACGTCGGTCAGCGTTCCCAAGACGCAATGACGACATTATGCGAGCCTAGTCACAACTCGAGTAATGCAGTGTGCTAGACCTTTGGTTCGGGTTACAGCTCCGCACGGAGGGTGTGAGGTTCATGCACGATGATTTGTTCTGGAGGTCTGAGGTAAAGGCGATGTCTTGCATGGGATCCGACGAGATAGTGTATGAGTGACATATTCGCTTTAGTGTAGAAAGTCTAGAAGTGCAGGGGAAGCCATTCTGTGTGGCAGCTGCGAACGCTTTTTTCCGAACGCTTTGAGAGTAGTATACATGTTGTACATTGGTCATGAGCGGCGTGATTAAGACTGTCGGGCCATGCTTCATCTACTTGTTCTGGCCCGGCAGTGGTAGTTGCGGCGCTGTAATTTCTCCGCCTTGCATCTCAATCTTTTTGATTGTCTGTTCTCTTTGGTAGTTTACAACTCGTTGCTTCTTGAAGTATTCGACCTGCAGCAGGCTGTTAGTGTAATGTGGTTGCCGTGCAGAAATTTCTACGTACCCAGCTGTGTGCGCAATTCTTCTCGAACTCGTGGTCAAAAGACGCGCAGAAGCTTGCGGCCTTGTCCCTGCCGGATTTTGAGTTTATGCTATCCAAGATGTTGTTCTTGTCGAGACATTCGAAAAAGGCGTCGCGTGCTGCATAGCATTGCTTCCGGTTGGATCGTGACGGTGACTCGAATGCGCCGCCGTCTGTCTTCTTGACACCGCCGTCGTCCTTGGAGCTTGAGCCGAACCAACCCATGGCTGTGGTTTTCGAAGGTTGCGGAGAAGATGCGGAGGTGGAGGCGACTGTCGCAGCTGGCGCGGGAGTCAGTGGCACGGGAGGCGGGTGTCACAGGAGGCTGTTCGGGGTGGCTGCGTACGTCAGGAGGGGATGCTCGAGGTCAGACTATGTAGGCTTGGTAGAATTATCGACAATACACGTCCAGCAGCGCAATCATCTCGAATCCGTGCTTGGCGGGCCCAAAAGCTATGACATCGGCGCTGACTGCCCACGTTTCGCCGAACGGTTAGGGAAACCCGTGAATCAACAGGCAACCTTGCACCTACCATCAATCAACCTGCGTATTGATGCCACGCCGACGCCGCCCTCCACGACCTGGCGCACTTGCGGATCTGTCCCCGACCCGCATACTCTCCCAGATCCTACTGCTGCAACTTGCCTACTATGCATGCGCCGGCATCCTTATTGTCTTTACCGCGCTGGTAGCGGGCAAGGAGGTCAGCACCGATCTCTTGTTCGGCTGGCAAAGTCTACGCGGCGATACCACAATCGGATGGACGCTGGGTCTGGTCTGGGTGCTGAACAGCCTCGCCTGGTAAGTGCTGCGACGCGCTGGTCCCAGTCATGCCACCATCTAACACGCGGCAGTGCCATCTTCATACTGCTTCTCATCGCCCGCTCCAAACTCGTTCTTGACTTCGCCCTGACTGTACACTTTATCCACTTGATCGTCACCTCCTTGTACACCCACGCCATACCCGCCAACTTGTTCTGGTGGGCGCTGCAGATATGTAGCGCCACCATCATGACTTCGCTAGGCGTATGGGCATGCCAGTGGCGGGAACTGAGGCCAATCAACTTTGGCAGCAAGAAGCCTTCGCCATCACAACCAGCCGTAGAGGACCAAGGTGGAGAGTCTAGGGGAAGAGGCAGGGGCAGAGGGAGAGACGGCGCTGGTGAATACGAGATGGTTGGTATGAGCGAGGGGGACAACAACGTCTGACCACATGTCAGACCTGCATAAACGGCGTTTTGCTTCACGAGCCCATTGAGGGCCATTGTACTATACCCTGACAGAGCATGCGTCATTATACATCAACATTTGCCTTCTACTTTTCTCCTAACGCCAACAAGACGCGGGTGTTTTGCGATTGCGTTCGATGGCCCTCGTGTGCTAGAAGGAGAGGCAGCTGTGTGTCATGTTTCGGTATGTTGAGAGCGGATGTGGTGAGATATATCGACAGCATGATGAGGAAATGTCCGGATAACATGGCCGTGATGAAGATAGAAACAACAACCACAAGACATATGAGGTAATAAGGTATATGCTTCATAATGGGCTGATGCGGGCGCAATGACTATCCAAGAGTGCAGTCACGACGGCGAATCCTAACAAGACAATAATAGTCCCTTCCAAGATTCAGGGTTGGCATCTATTCTATATACAGTCGGCATCTTACCTGAAACGCTTACAAGGGTTGCTAAACTAGTGGTCGGGAAAGCGGTTGGGCGTGCCCGAGCAGCAGGCCAGAGGTTCTGACACTGCTTCGTTCTTCTTCGTGGTGACCTTGTCTCTTCTTAGTCCGTTGGTACACATT